AAAAAAAAAAAAAGAAGAGATACCTAGGGCAAGGCATGTAGCCCTCGCCTGGCATGCCATGCTCCAGGAACCTCCATGAGTTCAGCTACCTGGAAGCTCTCTGAGCCCTGCCCTTCCGGGTTTTTAACGGAGGCTCATTATGTAGGCATGATTGACTAGATCATTGGCTGTTGGTAATGAACTTAACCCTCCATCCCTCTCCCCTCCCCAGAGGCTGTGGGGTGGAGCTGAAAGTCCCAACCCTCTAATCCTGCCTGGGTCTTTGCAGTAACCAGTCCCCCGCCTGAAGCTACCTAGAGGATCAGCCATCAGTCAATCGTTAGCATACAAAAAGACAGCACTTTGGTGATTCTAAGCATTTTAGGAGTTGTATGGCAGGAAATGGTCCAAGACCAAATATATATTTTACTATATCACAGAGACACAAATCAAAACTGCAATCAGATACCACTTTCTATCTATCAGGATTGTTATAATAAAAAGACAGACAACAGTAAGTGTTGGCAAGGATGTGGAGAAATGAGAATCTCATATACTGCTGGTGGGAATTTAAAACGACACAGCCATTCTGGAAAACAGTCTGGCAGTTCCTAAAACCGTTAAATATAGAGTTACCATATGACTGAGCATTTCGCTTTTAGGTAGCTACCCAAGGGAAATGAGAATATACCTCCGCACAAACACTCGTACGTGAATCTTCACAGCAGCATTATTCATAACAGCCCAAAGTGGGAACAACCATCAGCTCATGAACAGATAAACAAAATGTGATCTATCCCTACAACGGATTCTCATTCAGCCCTCAGAAGGAACGCAGCACTGATACATGCTGCAACGTGGATGAACTCTGAAAACATTACACTAAAGTAAAATAAACTAGACACAGAAGGTCACATATTGTATGATCCCACTTATATGAAAAGTCCAGATCAGGCAAATCCATAGAGGCGGAAAGCAGATGAGTGGTTGCCTGGGGTCGAGGGGGACGAGGGCCTGTGGGGCTACGGGAGGGGTGCCACTGCCAATGAGTACAGGCCGCTTCTGGGGAGGATGAAAATGCTCTAAAATTAGATTGTATGATGGGTGCACAACCTGCGAATATCCTAAAAAATACTGCATACTCTAAATGGGTGATCTGTGTGGTACCTGAATTATAGCTCAACAAAGCTGTTAAGAAAATGACACAAACGGGCAGGCAGTAGAGTCGTCAGGCTAGATGGCCTCCATGTTTTCTTTCCAGCTGTAAAATCCTAAGCACTTAGAAGGCTGCTGGTCTCAGATTGGTCCTGGGTGCTTCTGAACAGCATGGGGACCCTCGGACCAGGCACAGCCATAGGCAGGAGACAGTCGCTGGGCCAAATGCTATACGGGCGAGTGAGTGGTTGTGTCCACAGGAGATCCACCATGCGATGGATCAGAGAGCCAGCGCCCGGCCTCACTCACCAAGCATGGAGCTCATGAGCTGGTCGGGGCTGGCCTGAGCCGACGTGGAGCAGAGAGTGTTGAAGTACAGCCCCGAGCCCTCCCGGATGGGGCTGAGCATGGGTGGCGGCGTGTAGGGGGAGCACTGGAATAAGCCCTTCAGCAGGTGGTCCACCAAGAACACTGGAGACCGCAGGCAGCTCTGGTGGCATCTTCCAGGGCCCCGCTCCCCAAATGTGGAGGGTGGAGGAGGGATGAACAACGCCTTGGGCTGGGGGCGCTTCTTCCGCTTTCTGTGTTGGCTGCTCTCCCTGCTGCCTCTCTCCTCCCCGTCTTTCTCTTGTCCCTGGAGAAGAGAGTTCAGAACCACAGATGTTCACTCGAAGCCACTTACTGAACCACTCAGTCTTCAGGATGACATGAGAGTGGGAAAGGGACTGGCCACGGAGACAGAGGGAAACAAGACATGCACGCCCTGTGGCCACACCCACAGCCCTCGGCAGAGGCCAGCCAGGCCTGGCATGTTCTGAGGCTGGAGCCTTCTCACGCACCCCTGCCCCGTGGAGAGCCCCTGGCTCAAAGGATTCTGGAATCGTGTGAGGACAGCTTCAGTTGTTAACAAGAGTGGGGGCCAGAGATAGAGGATGACTGTGGCGAAACAAAAACTTATTCCACTCAGATGCAAACAGCTCCCATGAGGCCAAAAATGGGATCCAGTCACTGACTCAGGGGACCTTGTGGTCCACACACCCTGTCCAGCATGAGCTTCTCCAGGTGGGGCGTCCAGTACAGACTGAACAGACAAGCTTCTCCCCTTCTGTCTTCCAGCCTTACCCTCTAGCTCTTGGCTCCCACACCCTCTCCTCCAGGAAGCCCTCCCTGACCTCTTCAGGCTGGGTCAGGAGCCCCCTCAGAACTTCCCAGCTCCCTCTCCTTCCCCCAGCCCTGTCCATCCAGTTCATCGCTGTCTAGGGACAGGTCTGTCTCCTCCAACGGACTGGGAGCCCTTGGAGGCAGGGCTTGACTGTCATAGTCACTGCTGTGTCCCCAAGCACCACCAGCACAGGGCCTGGCACAGAGGGGCTCAGCGAATGCCGAATGACTGAATGAATGTGCAAACCACGTTCTGGAGTCAGGATTTTGTGTGTTGCTGGGTTTGGGTTTTTCTAGTGGCAGTGAGAAGGCAGACAGACAAGCACCCACCTCGGCCATGATCCCCGCGTGTCTGTTCACTGGAGCCCCAGGGACCGACACAGGGATCACCAAAGGGGCTGAGGCTGTGATGTCCACGGGCTTCTTGGCTCCTGGGGGACTCTGTCCGTCCCCTTCTGGCCTCAGCACCTGTCTCAGTGGCTTGCAAAACTCCGTGCCAAACTCCTAAACATGGAGAAAGATGGCTCTTTAAGAGAAATGGTAGGTAGGGGAAAGAAGAGGTGCTCCAGAAGACAGTGATGACCGTGAGGACAGCTGTTGCAAACTTCCTGGCAGTGAGGCTGGGGGTGAGGACAGAGCTGAAGAGATGCCGCTGCCCCTGGAGAGCAGCAGAGCCCTGACACTGGGCCCCTGTCCAGGATGACGTCTCCATCCTGAGATAAGTGACACCCAGTCGTCTACTCCCCGAGGCCTGTCAGAGACCCCACAACCTCAGAAGCTACTGCTCACGCCCCTTCACCTGCGGCTCCTGCTTCCCTCGAGGCGACGGCCACTGGTCGCTGTGAAAACACATGTGGCTGCTCAGCCCTTTCTCGGTATAAAACATCTGGCTGCAATTCTTGCAGACATAAGTGCTCCTTGGCTCTGTCCGGTCTGTGGGGCCCCCATTTTGCTGGTTACTGCGGGTAGACATGGCAGGAGGGAAGAACAGGAGATTGGGACTCTGTCCCTGATCACTGATTTTTTTGTTTTTGTTTTTTTCTTTTTCGTTTTCAACTCCAATCCAATGGCAACTCTTGATAAACCCTAAAAAATGGAGGCTCTACTCAAATTCTTCATGGGCTGAAGCATCCCCCTCAGAACTGAGGACACCCAGCTCTCTCTCTAGGGCCAGCACCTGAAGGCCACAGAGGACCCCCAGGCAGGGCAGAAGGGGCTTCTTAGCTTACCATCCACCTGCCGTGTTCTCTTCTTTCATCGGATGGGGGAGCCTGTAGATGTTTCCACCCTGAAGATGAAAATACATCCGAGCCGACACATCAGAAATGAGGAGGGATAGGAGAGCTAGAGCTATAAGACTCTCAGAAGAAAACACCGGAGTAAATCTTCATGACCTTGGATTAGGCAATGGTTTCTTAGATGTCACACCAAAGCAAACCAAAAGACAAAACAAACAAATTGGACTTCATTGAAATAAAAACGTTTGCCCTGCAAACAACACAATAAAATGAAAAGACAGCCTATAATATAGGACACAATATTTACAAATCATGTATCTGAAAAGGCGCTTACATCCAGAATATATAAGCAAACCCTGAAACTCAATAATGAAAAGATGGTAACTCAATTTTTAAAATGCACAAAGGATCTGAATAGACATTTCTTCTAAGAAGATACACAAATGGCCAGAAAGCACACGGGAAGGCCATCACTAGCCGTCAGGGAAACACACATCAAAACCACAATGGGATACCACTTCACACCCACTAGGATGGTTATAATAATAATAAAAAAGTGAGCCAGTGCGCCTATAGTCCCTGCTACTTGGGAGGCTGAGGCAGGAGGATCGCTCGAGGCCAGGAGTTGAAGTCCAGCCTGGGCAACATAGTGAGACATCATCTCTAGAAAAGAAAAAATGGACAAAAGCAAGTGTTGGTGAGGATGTGGAGAAACCGAAGCCCTCGTCAACTGTGGGTGGGAATGTACAACGGTGCAGCTGCTTCATAAAACAGTCCGGCAGTTCCTCAAATGTTAAATGTAAGAGTTGCCACATGACCTGGCAATTCCACTCCGAGGTACCTACCCAAGGACATACATCCACACAAAAATTTGTACATGGGTAAAGGGTCATAACAGCACCATTCACAATAGCCAAAAAGGGGAAACAACCTAAATGTTTATCAGCTGATGAACAGACAAATGAAAGCTAGCATATCCACCCAGTGGAATGTTCCTCAGCCCTAAGAAGGAACGAAGCACTGACACACGCCACCGCACGGATGGATCTTGGAAACACCATGCTAAGTGAAAGAAGCCAGGCACGAAAGGCCACATATTGTATGATTCCACTATATGAAATGTCCGGAAGAGGCAAATGCATAGAAAGTGGAGTTACAGTTGCCGGGGGCAGGGGGATGGAGAGATTGGCGGCGACAACTCAGGGATGTCAGGCTCCTTTCTGGGGTGATGAAACGGTTCTGGCAAATAGCGCTGATGGGGGCACAATCTCATTAATATACTAAAAAAAACTACTGAATCGTATACCTTAAAGTGGTGAAGTACATGGCATGCAAAGGATAAAGCTGTTTCTTTTTAAAAAAGAGATAGCTGTGGTATGAGAGGTGGCTGAGCTCTTCAGACCAGGGCCTCACGGCAGGATGACGAGGGAACAAGCCACCGCTCGTGACCGTGCCGAGCAGGGTGGGGGACACAGCACGTGCCCACTTGTACTGGTGGGAACCATGAGTCACAATCAGAAAATACACAAAATACATGGCCACTTCATGCAGCAACATTTAAGGGAAGGAGGGTATCTACCTTTATATCCTCTGAAGAATTTAAGGAGGCAAACCAAAAGGAGACGAGAAGGAAGGAAAAGCAGGCAGAAACAGCTTGGTGAATAACAAAATGACGCAGAGTGTTTTGGACAACTCCGCAGTGTCCTCATTCTAATCTGGTGGATTTTGTTTTTTGTAGGAGAAACCACAGTCTCTCTGCACCTTAATTTCTTCCTATATAAACCTACATCTGAGGATTCACTGAAATGAAATAAACGCATGGACAACTAACAAACGCTGATACAAACACCAAAGGGAACTTTGACCTCGCTATGGTCAGGCCACGCGAAAGAGGGCTCGGTACCTGGATTCTGTTGAATATTGTCAGCTTGGACTTGGGGTCTCGGGGGGGATCCGTGGGAGGCCCAGCAGATGAGAAGGAGGCCATGGCTACCTGGCTGGGAGAAGCTGCACAGCACACATCCATCTTCACCTTCTCCTTCCGGAAGCCTGAGAATCGCTGGGCTCTGGGGTTACCCGAGAAGGGCCTGCAGCCTCCGCCCCGGGAGCAGCCTGGGCCCTTCTCACCTTTAGCGGCCCCTGAAATTGTGCCGTTCTCGGCCTGAGGCTGCTTCCCAGGCAGCTGGGCTCCGGGCAGCTCATCCCCACCTAACTGGGTCTGTCGTGAGCCCGTGGGAGGGAAGATGTCCCCCAGGTCCAAGGTGCCTTTTGAGGATCGCAACTGCTTTGCCACAGAAGAAATGTCTGGATTCCCGGAGGGGTCCAGAGATGGCCCTGTGAGGGGCAGCAGAGCAGTGGCCACTTTCAGTCCTCCCTTTGAGTCTCGTCTTGTGCTGCCAGGGGAGGCCTCTCTGGGAACCATGGGCGTGAATTTTCTCCTGCGGGCTGGGGATCCCTCTGGCTCCAGGTTTCCAGGGCCAGCGTGGACAGAGTCAGCAGTGGGTGCCAGTGGTGCGGGCTGCTGTGGCCACGGCCCCTGCGGTGGCTTCAGGGTAGCCTGCTTGCCTTCGGGCATGGGGAGCTGGGAGGAGGCTGCTGCCACCTGCGTGTGGGAGAAGATCCGCTGGGACTTGGTGATCATCTGGAACACTTGCATCTGCTCATGGCTCACCAGAGACTCCTGTGACTTCAGGAACAGCTGCCGGAAGAGCGGAGTGGCATCCGACGGGAGCCCACCCGGTTTCTGGACATCCTGGAAGCCAGGCTCCCCAGGGTTCTGCCATGAGGAGTCGCAGTCAAACCTCTTCTTGGAAGCCCAGGAATCGTCTTCCCCACTGGCATACCTGGGGTCACCCACGGCCTCCCCGGGTGTCTTCAGGAGCGTGGGAGGAAAGGGCAGCGCATCCTCCAGGCTGCTGCCCGAGCTGGATGAGGGTTCCACCGATGGGGAGGTGCTGCTGGGCCCCGGGCCAGATTCGGAGCCCTCACGCGATGGCACAGGGGGCTTGTGGACAGCAAACACGTTGTCGCCTTTGCTCTTGGGGCAGCCCGGCAGGTTCCGGAGCCACTGGAAGTTGTGGCTGGATGGCTGGGAACTGGCAGGGACCGTCTGGCCTCGGAAGAGAGGCAGGGAGGCAGGCAGGGAGCCGCCCTCGGGCCAGCCCTCCATGGTGGACGGGAGCTGGAGCATCGGGGGCTCTGACTCTGACGGGTCAGGGGCGCCGTTCTCTGCTGCCCTTGGATGGACGGCCGTGAACGCATCAGCGGCTGGCTCCTGCGGGAGACGAGGCTCCTCAGGAACCTCAGTACCCAGAATTCCCGGGGGTGCTGGGGTGCCAGCTGGGGTGCAGGAGGAAGACCCTGATGGGGTGGGGCAGGGGCAGGCTGTGCTCCTCCCTTCACTGTCTGAGGACCCCGCCACGGCTGGGCCAGGAGAAGGGATCTTCTGGTGGACGATGCTGCTCACGATACAGCGCAGGAGGTCTCGGTTGGGCAAGAGGGAGCCAGGGGACCTGGCTTCCGGGGGCACCAGAGACCGCAGGCTACTGGGAGGCGGCTGACTGCCTGCCTCGTGGGCATGGGGGGAGTCCCCACAGGCTTCCTCTTCCGGGGGGGCTTCCTTCAGGATGCACAGGCTGTGCTGGACCTCGTAGTGCCGGCGCAGAGAGCGGTAGTCGCAGTAGCTCTTGCTGCACCCCTGCTCGATGCACACGAAGGGCTTGGTCTTCTGGTGGGTGAGCATGTGCCCGGTCCTGGAGCCAGACACAGGAAGGGAGGTCAGGGGGCGCCTCAGATGGGCCTTCCACTGCAGGGTCCCAGAGGCCCCGAGGGTCAGTGGTGCAGCCGCACCACAATTCAGAAATTGTACTCAGCCCCCATGAGGAAAGACTACCAAGCAACCTCTGCTCTGTCAAAGCAATCTGGTAGGGGAGCTCCTCTCCGCGCCCTTAAGCAAACCCCTATCTGAAAAAAAAAAAAAAAATCCACTGAATCCAGAGCAGACTTCCCCAAAGTGAGTTCCAAGGAACAGCAGTCCTCCAGAGTTGCTCCCGCAGGACTTGGGGTTTTGAAAAAAACACTGTTCACTTCTTGGAGATTCACAAGGCACAGTAGCAAATTTAAAAGCCACATAGAGAGAGACCTGTTTAATTTTCAGTGTCTCTCAAACTTATTTGCCCAAAGAACTATTCCTTTTTTCCCCAAACAGCTCCTATCAGCATTCTTGAGAACCAGAGTTCTGCAGAACAGACTTGGGAAAATGCTAACTTAGGGATTACCCTCCCTCTAGCAAGGAGTCCATGCCTTACAGTGGCTTCCTCTGAGGACAGCTATCTGGAACCCCCACAGCAAAGCAACCAATTTACAGCTGCCCAATTGATAAAACTCCCTAGAGCCAAACGTGCCTATAATTTCTGCAAACACACGTGCATATACATATATGTATCGTGTTTATATCACACCTTCATCTACAGTGACGTATTATAAATATAAACAAATGAGCAAATCAGCTCTGGGTTCCCAACAGGCCTGCTCTGGACAGAGGTGGTAAATGTGGCCCATGGGATAAATCCAATGAATAATAAAGGCTCCCCCAAAGGTTCACAGCTGGCCTCCATCTGAGAGAAGCAACTGGGAAGGAATCGGGAGGCCTAAGCTCTAGCCCTAGCTGCTACCAACTTGTGACGGGAGCAAATTGCTTCCTTTCCCGGGGCCCTGGGGTAGGGGTGGGTGAAAAGATAAAATGAAAGACGGAGGAATCAAAGTAAGGAGCACTGTAGGAATGAATGCAAGGCATGGCCATCTCCTACTTGCAGGTCTCTTGAGGGAAGCTGCCCTTCCCTCACGGGCAAGAAAAGCCTATCATTTCTGGGACAGTAAGAATAACAGATATTTTGCAGGTGCTGTGGTATGTGCCTACTGTAGTCCCAGCTACTCGGGAGGTGAGGTGGGAAGATCGCTTGAGCCTATGAGTTGGAGTCCAGCCTGCACAACATTGTGAGATCCCTGTTTCTTAAAAAAAAAAAAAAGGATGAGGGAAATTTTGCAATTTTGCTCCTAACTGTTAAACTGGGCTTTCATCTTAAAACCAAGAATTTTTTTAAAAATCAGGAGTTTAAAAGCAAAAGGAGTTAAAGAAGAAAAACCAGGTTTAAAGCTCCATTGTCGTGTTCTGGAAATGGGCATCCCACCCTTTATGTCCCCGTGTTATCCCAACATATATTCCCCGTGGAACGCAGATCCGTTCTCCTCAGTCAACTCCCAGGGACTCAGGACATTGCTCTGCACAGTTAGCCAAACTTCCTCCGTGACACAAGTGTCTCGGGAGTGAGCCAGTGAGTGTTTTAAATCACAAGGGCTTGGTCTGCAAACCGAAGCAGCTATTTCCCGACTGGTGTGAATCTGGGGCTCCCAGCACACTGGCAGTGCGAGAAGAACGGACTCTGCGTCTGGGCACAGGTTACACACAGCCGGGGAACAGGAAGGTGGAGAAACTGAACAGAGGATGAGACAGGTGGGTCTGGGAGAGCAGGACGGAGACCCAGGAACGCGCCCGCACCCGCCAGCCCCTGAACAGACATTTTCCTGACCAGACTCCTACATACAGGTGGTCCTGACGCTTAAAGGCCTTGCTGCAGATTTTGCAAACGTGTTTCCTTTCCTGGCTGTGCGTCAGGTAGTGCTTGCTAAGAGAACTGGCGCTGCTGAACACCTTCCCACACAGGCTGCAGTCCAGAAGTGGGTTTTGAGGGGAACTGTGCTGCCGCTTTCCTTTCCTGGCACTCCCAGAGGTGGCCCTGCCTCCTTCGTCAGCCTCTTTAGGCACCTTAAGTGCACCTAGCCCCAGGTCTAAACAGAGGGAGAAAGCACAGGTTACAAACAGCTGGGGAAATCGAAGAGCACAGCTAGCGCACTCTAAAACTCTTAGAAGCATGGCGGCCTTGTAAGAGTCGGCCAAATACTCTTACTCCAACGTCAGCAGCTTTACGTGCAGAGAAAACATGGTTTGGGAGCAGGGGCCCTGGTCAGACCACACCCTCGGGACAGCACCCAGACTCAGTGCCACATGCAGAGGGACGGTGGCAGACTGAAGCACTTCTAGGACGGTGTGACCGAGACAGGCAGGGCTTATGACTCTACCATCAACCGGTACTCTTGGAAGGGCAACCTGGAAATAAATTATCCGAAACCTTGGAGGAGTATAAATCCTTGTACGCACCCAGCCAATGACACTTTTGGACTTTTAACATAAGGAAATAAATGTAGCTTTGTACATTAACTGTCACATTGCTTTTCCTTGTCATATGTTAGAAACAACCTAATATCTAACAAGACGGCATGTAGGCGACTGACTGCCTTGTGGTTTAAATGGTCTATGACGTAAGCATTTCAAATAAAACTGTAGAAAAACATCTAACGACATGAAAGGATGTTCATGTCACAGTACTAAGTGAGAAAAAGCAGACTATTGCAAAACAGAGTTAGCCTAGTTGTTAAAAAAGAAAAATAAATTTCAGTAGAAGATAGACCCAGGGAATCGGGTTGACTGGTAGGATTATGGGTTGGTTTTATTTTCCTCTTTTTCTGTATCTGAATTTTCTACATTTTCTGTACCCCTTGGGTAAAATGATAGAAAGTATTTTTATAAATCATATCTCAGCTGAAGGAACTGAGAATATTCACTTGGGAGAGGGCAGGTGTCTTTAGATATCTGAAGGGCCACCACGTGGAAGAGGGGTCGGATTGCTTCTGTCTTGCTCCAAGGGAGAGAGCTAGGTTTGGTGAACGAAGAGTAAAGGGAAGCTGATTTTAAACCACTAGAAACGAGGGCCACGTATGCAGGGACTCTGCTTGTTCGCTGCTGTCTTCCTGGCTCCGGAGTCCCACTCTGGCACCAGTACGTACTCAGTAACTGTATGTTAGACGAAGTGGGGGACCTGTGGCCTTCTGATTTCAATACCGTTCTTTTTTAAGCACCAAAGGGGGCAAGACAAGCTTCGTCCTTCTCTGCTGCACCCCTTTTAATAAAAGGATTTGGTCTGTAAAATTTGGATTCGGTAAAAAGGTGGCACTTAAGGACCTGGAAGGCCACTTCTCACCTTAAGGGCGTAGGTTCCCCACCCCTAATGAATTCTCTGCGGCTAATGAGATGCACGTGACAGACACAGCCAAAGGAAACTGGACTGGGAGCCTTGGGCTGTTTGTCACTTGCTTGGCCTTCATCTTCTTCCTATGAGAAATTACTATAATGACTAGTCGAATTATTCCAACAGGTTTAAACAAGAAAAAATTGGATTCCCTCAGGGGAAGGTCCTTAGCCTTGCTAAGTTACTTTAAAATGCTTATTAACGTAACGATTAAACTAGAAAACAAATTGTTTTTAAAAACTGGCAAGGACACTGGAAAACATGCACACAGAGTCACTAGCCTGGGAAGCTGCTTGATGCAGAGTGCAGTGTTATAAGGCTCTAAAGTTGTTTACATGCTCTGTCTGGGTGAACATACTTTGACAAAAATGTTCAAAATCAATCCAAAAGAATATCCTATATGCAAACAGCGTTCACAGAAACACTTTAACAGTCTAACAAGCAAGAATATGGTCTTGGGAGGAGTGGTGGCATTCACCTGTAGTCCCAGCTGCTTGGGAAGCTGAGGTGGGGAGGATTGCTTGAGCCCAGAAGTTCAAGGCTGCAGTGAGACTAGTCACTGCACTCCAGCCTGGGCAACATAGTGAGACCCCATGTCTTAAGGAAAAAAAAAA